CCAAACCATGAGAAAATTAATTTTTGTTATTTAAGTCACCCACTCTGTGGTATGGCAACCTGAGTAGGCTGATACCTACAATGGAACAAAGCTAAGAATTAAAGCAAACTTCTTGATTTTCTTGTCAGAAACCCAGCAAGCAAGACAACGAAGTAAGATCTTTAAAGTATTGAAAGAAAAAACTGTCAACCAAGAATTCTATACTGAGCAAAAATACCCTTCAAAAATGAAGGAGAAATAAACTTTCTCAGATGAACAAAAACAAAAGGGACCTTGGTCAGGCGGCTCAGTAGGTTGGAGTGTCATTCTATACATGAAAAGGTTCTGGGTTTGACTGCCAAGTAGGGAATGAATCTAGGTTGCAGGTTCGATCCCTGGTCTCAGCACACACAAGAGGCAACCAATTGATGTTTCTCTAATATTCGCCTGCCTTCCTTCTTTCCTTCCTTCCTTCCTTCCTTTCTTCCTTCCTTCCTTCTTTTTCCCTTCTTCTCTCTCTAAAATTAATAAACATATCCTCAGGTGAAGAAAAAATGTTGGCTTTTTTAAAGGGAATTCACTACCAAAAGACTTACCCTACAAGGAATGTTAAAATTCTTCAGACAGAAGTAATAAGATAAAGGTTAAAAATCTAGACCTACGAAAAGAAACGAAGAGCATCAGCCCTGGCTCAGTGGATTGAGTGCTGGTCTGTGAACCAAAGGTTAATAGTTAGACTACCAGTTAGGGCACATGCGTGGATTGAGGGCCAGGTCCCCAGTGCAGGGCACATGAGAGGCAACCACACATTGATGTCTCTCTCCCTCTCTTTTCCCTCCCTTCCCCTCTCTAGAAAATAAATAATCTTTTTTTTAAAAGAAAGAAATACATAAAGAGCATCAGAAATGGATGAAGTAAAGCTAAAATATAATCTTAAGTTTATTTTTATTACAATATATAACTATTTAAAGCAATAAAAGTTACAAGGTACTAGGTATTTATATAAATAAATACACAAAATATATGACAATAATAGTGAGAGACTACAAGGCAAGGATGTCTTCTCCCACTACTCTTACTCAACCTTGCACTGCTATACCTAGCTAGTGTAGTAAGGCAAGAAAAATAAATAAAAGCCATCAGATTGGAAAAAAAAGAAATAAAACTGCTTTTATTAGCAGACTTGGTTGCACATGTACAAAATTCTAAGGAGTCCACAAAAACTTCCTAGAACTAACAATTGATTTTAGCAAGGTCACAGGATACAAGGTCAACATACAAAAATAAACTGTGTTCCTACATACTAGCAATGAATAAATAAAATCTGAAATTTTAAAAAGATATCATTTACAATAGTACCACAAAAAGAAGTACTTAGCTATAAATCTAACAATATATATATAAGATCAATGGAAAGCTATAAGACAATCATGAAACAAATCAAAGATCTAAATAAATGGAGATACATCATGTTCATAAAGATTCAATGTTGTTAAGATATCTATTCTTCCAATTTGATTCATAATTCAATATGATCATGAACAAAATTTTAGCAAGATTTTTGTACTTATCAACAAGATTAGCCTAAAATTTGTATAGAATGGCAAAAGAACTAGAATAGCAAAACACTGTGAAAAAGAATATAGTGGGAGAATTCACATTTACTATATTCAGGATTCGCTATAAAGCTATAGCAATCGGAGACAGTGTGGTACTGTTAAAGGAATATACATAAAGATCAGTAGAACAGAATAGAGCCCAGAAGTAGACCCACAAATATAGTTAACTGATTTTTGACAAAGGTAAGAAGGTAATTCATAACTACTTGATATCAGGAACCACTAAAATTACATAGCACACATATTGGGAAATGCTACTTTTGAACCACTTATATCATTTTTAAGGGAGGTAACTGAGCTGTATCTAGAGATTTCTTAGTCTGACTTAACAATGAATTATAGTACATTGTATATGCCTTTTGCTCCATGGACAAACTTATCCATTCAGGGGATACACAGTTAGCCTCTTTCTCTAGCCAGTCCTACCATTGCCCAATAAGCTCATAAACAAAGTGGCCCAGGTGACAGGGATGGAGGTTATACAAGGGCTCGGCAACACAGACTTCCACTCACTAAGGCTGACTGGCTGCGGCCACTGCTGAGTGCCCAAATGGATAGCAGCAGAGACTAACACTGAGTCTCCAATACGGCACCATTTTCCGGGTGCCACCAGCAAGCTATCGGGTGGCAGGTTGATTATATTGAAGTGTTTCTATCATAGAAGGAGCAGTGTTTTGTTCTCACTAGAATAGATATTTATTCTGGATATGGATTTGTTTTTCCCCTACCCGATGTTTCCACCCAAATTATTATCCATGGACTTACATGGTCTCATCCGTGGACTTACACAATGCTTATCCACTGTCAAGGTATTTCACACAGCATGGCTTCTGATCATAGAATTCACTGTACAGCAAAAGAAGTATGGCAACAGGCCTATACACATGGAACTTACTGGTCTTATCATGTCCCCTACCATCCTGAAGTAGCTGGCTTGACAGAACGGTGGCATGGTCTTTCGAAGAATCAGTTGCAATGCCAGTTAGGCAGCAATACCTTGCAGGTCTGAGGTACAGTTCTCTAGAAGGCTGTACATACTCTGCATCCACATCCAGTATATGGTACTGTTTTCCCATAGCCAGGATTCATGGGTTCCAGGAATCAAGAGATGGAAATGGGAGTGGTACTACTTACTCATGATTATCTCCAATGACCCACTAGTAAAATTTTTGCTTCCTTTCCCCACAACTTTAAGTCCTGTCCGTCCAGAGGTCTTGGTTCCAAATGGGGGGAATGCTTCTACCAGGAGACACAACAGTAATTCCACTGCACTAGAATTTCAGAATGCCACCCATTCATTTGGGGCTCCTTATGACTCTAAACAGGCAAAGAAGGAAGTGCTGGCTGGGGTGCATGATCCTGATTACCAAGGGAAACTGGATTACTACTCCATGTGGAGGTAAGGAGAAGTATTTCTGGAATACAGGAGATCCTTGCTGGGGTGTCCAACCCACAGCCTGCAGGCCACATGCAGCCCAGAATGGCTATGAATGGGGCTCAGCACAAAATCGTCAATTTACTTAAAACTTTTTTTGTTTGGCTCATCAGTTTTCATTAGTGTTTGTGTATTTAATTTGTGGCCCAAGACGACAATTCTTCTTCTTCCAGTGTGGCCCAGAGACGCCAAAAGGTTAGACACTCATGCTATTGTATATCTTAGTATTACCATGCCCTGTGATTAAGGTCAATTGAAAACTACAAAAGCCAATCCACACTGGACTAGTAAAGGCCAAGGCCTTTAGGACTGAAGATTTGGGGTCACCTCACCAGGTAAAAAACTGCAACCAGCAGAGGTACTTGCTGAAGGAAAAGGGGAGAGTGGGTAGTGGAAGAAGGTAGTTATAAATCTAGCTATACTCACTTGACCAGTTACATAAATGAAGACTGTAATTGTCATGAGTATTCTTTTCTTATTTTGCTATGAATATATCTGTGTGTGTGTGTGTATCTTTGTTTTCTTTCCTCTATTATTCTCTTATTATGTAATGTAAGATGTATTGGCTTTATATCATGGTATTTAAGTATTATTCATTTTAAATCACAGTATTTAAGTTATGGGATATCAAGAAGAGTAAACATCACTCAAAGACTTTACCTCTTCTTTTGGGGCAGAGGCTAGTGCATTTCCAGGGTAGCTGTATCATGCTAGGTAGAGTTATGATATTGTTATTATCTTTATTTGAAGATTAGTTTGGTTTAAGATGTATATGAATGTCAGGTTAACAGTGAGGTGGACGTGTGATGATTAATTTTATGTGTCAATTTGCCTGTGCCACAGAGTGCCCAGATGAAATGTTATTTCTGGGTGTGTCTGTGAAGATATTTCTGGATGATATTAACATTTGAATCCATGGACTCAGTAAAGTAGACTGGCCTCCCATGCACATGTGGGCATCATCCAATCCTTTAAGAGCCTGAATAGGACAATAAGGCAGAAAGAGGAGGAATTTGCTGCCCTCTTTTGTGTCCTGCCTGCCTGTTTGAGCCGGGACATTGGTCTTCTCCTGTCCTTGAACTGGAATTATATCACTGGCTTTCCTGGGTCCCCAGCTTCTGGGTGGCAGATTGTGGAACTTCTCAGCTTTCATAATCATGTGAGCCAATTCCTTATATAAATCTCTTCCTATAGTATATATATTTATATACACATATATCTTATTCGTTCTGTTTCTCTGGAGAACCTTAACACAATTTTCAATTCAAATCTCTTTTCTATGGAAATGCCTCTAATGTCTCCAGAATCTCCGCAGATCTTGCCTCGCATGACCTTGTTGATCTCTTCTGGTCTGTGATGCATAAAAATGGCATAGAATGTACTGCACCGTCTCTGACAGGCTTGTATTTTAAGGCCTTATCTTTCCAACTAGAATTTAGAAACCTTGAAAATAAGAGTTTTACCTCTTATTTCTTCTGTGTGTATTTCCTTCCATTTTTTCATTTATTCTTTCATTCAACACATTTGCTGAGTTCCTAGTATGCTCAGCACACTGCTAGCCAATACAATAGTAAGTAACATCAGACTGCACCCTCTACTCTTATGATGGAGATTACAGCTTAGCTGGAGATGCACACATAAATAAAACAACCACAGAATAAATGCATAATTAAAGCCCTGGTAATGCTTTGAAGGAAATATATTCAAAGGTAGAGAGAGAGAGACCTAACCTAACCTAGGGTGGAGAGAAGGGTGGGGCAAGGCAGGAAAGGCTAATCTGGAAGAAGTCATATTGATCCAAGATGTAAAGAATGAGAAGGTTTTCACAAAATAGAGAAAAAGGATGGTGGTGGGAAAAGAGTGCTCTAGACAGAAGTCAGGGGAGGGGAAAGTGCACAGGGCCATTGCATCGCACACAAGCGGCCTCCTGAGACAGACAGCTGACCAGACAGACACATGGTACTAACCATTTTCTTCAGTCTCTTCTCTTCTCGTTTTTTCTTAAGCTGAGCCTCCTTTTCTTCTGCCTCTCTCTTCTGACGCTCCTCCTCTTGGGCCTTTAACTGGGCCTGATCAAGACCAGAATTTATAAAAACCAGAACCCTCAATTCTTATGGAAATATGATCTTTTAAGTTGAGGCTGAGCAAAGTTAAGTATCTACCAATGTATCCACCCTGTCTCTGGAAAAACTTTGCTCTTTGTGATAAAAGTAAAAAACCCAATCAACAGGTGGTCAGTTGTATAACTTGAAAGTTTCTCTAAGGAATCTTCTCCTTGGGAAGATGAGACTAAGCATGAATAAGACCATTAACTTTTTTATCATAAAAGGATTACTTTCTAGTTCTTATTTTCATCTGTGAAGTACTAAGTCTGAACTATATATAGCATGGGAAATTTTTTTCTTTCATTTCACCAAAAACTCTTCAAACGTGTTAGTATTATCTATTTTTTCTTAGTAGGCACAAAATTTACTTCTGACAATCCAAGTCAAAATTTCAAAAAACTTCAAAAAACCTTTGCAAACTTGTCAGGTAGAACATCTATATTAGTCTTGGTTATGTGTAAATCTTCCAATTTGCTAGTTCCCATCAACTTTTGCAACATTTGCTGCTATACTAATGATCAACATCATGCTTTCTCCCCCTCATTTTTCTAAAATTGTCACAGAGTTCAGGCCTGTAGGCAAAAAGCCATCACCAAAGTTGGTTTAACTCTGTTGTCTCCTTCGGCTTAAATGTGCTAGGTTTAATTTTTTTTTAATAAAAACCTATGGAAATCCTTTTTCTTGCCTCAGTTTGCATTCTTGGTTTATTACCAATTTATCCTCTTCTTGTTTTTTCTTCTTCTCTGCCAAGATCCGCCTACGTTCAGCTCGCTGAGCTGCTCTCTCCTCCATGGCTAGAAAATAGTAAGAGTTCCAGTATCAAAAATATAAGAAACACTGCAAAACAAATGCCTCTCTTTTTAGTAAAATTTGGTGTTATTAAGGTTTTCTTATAAGTTGAGCGTTCACAATCTCAGAAATATGTATGTATAAAATGTATATAAAATATAAATATATAAATTTTAGGTGTGTATATATTCTCTAAAGGTTAAAGAACTATAGTCCCTTTCTCAGCAATGATGAACAATTTGCAGATTACGTTTTTATTTATATTTCTATTAGAATAACTGTTTACTGGTTTAAATAAGATAATGTGCTGATGATACTTTTAGTATATGAAACCCAAAAACCAGAATTTTAATTTGATAATTCCTTTAATGAATGTATAAAACTTTACTTATATCTAACAAGTACTTTCAGAATAAAATTATTCCTGAAATTGCATTGATCCTACTAATTTTTCCTAAATCACTATACATATGTCTGTACATGTAATAACAACAAGCACAAACAAAGTTTAGGGTCACAATGAATATATTTTAATTTAGTTTTAAAGGCCTGGATATCCAGATGGGCAGGAAATGGAACTGTACTAAGTGCTGGGAGGACTGGCATCTGAATGAATCTGAGTGTCAGACTCCTGTTCTCAACAGTCTGTTAAATACCGGTCCAAAAGAAGCAAATGCGCAAGACGGTCTAATGTGATGACTGCCATCAGTTCGACCTTCCCAGGAATAGGAGCACGGGTGGGAGGAGTACCAAGCTCTGCTCACCTAAGTCAGCCAATATCTATTTTCTGTTCCTTGTGCCATGTTATAGGTGGAGAAAATTTAACTCCAAGCTTTAAATATTAATTAAAAAAAAACAGCTCACCAGGCTATGTCTTATAGATACTAAATGTCTGCTTTGCTAGAGAAAGAACAGTGGGGGCTCCCCACAGAGAGTGGGAGTGAGGCTGTCTTTAAGAGGGCAGAATGGATTAAAGTGAAAGAGCTCTGAGAAGCAGTCTCTGGTAATGTGCCCTTCCTCTTCGTTTCTGAAGCTGGTCATCAAAGGTGACTTGAAAAGTAGCCTGGCCATTTTTTGATTGTCCTCAGTGGTGGACAGAGATGGCATAAACTGCTGTCCTGGCAGAGTCAGTGCAAAGACTGCTCATTTCTTCACTGATAGGAGTTGAGTTGTAGATGCAGTATCATTCGGATGATGTCAGTTCTTGTTGGGGCAGCAATCTTGCCACGGGAGAAAAATCAGATTTACCAAATACAACATAATTGTCAAAGTGCCTACCACCACATACAGACATATGTAGAGTATGTGACTGTAGTGAAAACAATTAGCAGATTCACTAGGTGGGTTCTGAGGAATGCTTCTCTTCTCATAGTATTGTTTGGTTTAAATAACAATTTCTATGTTATCAAAAATCCCATAAATTAAAATAGGAGGTTTATAAATTTCATTACTAAAAGCCTATCATCAAGGCATAACTCATTATAAAATGATGTACTAACAATGTAAACTGCTGTGAACTATTCAATATTTTAATGTTAACAAAGTACAATGATAGGTGATCTTTCAGTGTTTATTCTTAGCAGCTACTCAGAGTTTTCTCATGTATATATTTGTCCCATTATTTTTGTATCACAATACAAATCTTAAGTTAGAGGAAAATAGTAAAACCTCTTAGCACTGATTCTTTGGTATTGGCTGGAAAGGCCAAAAAGCTTGGCAGAAGAGGCAGGGGAAAAGTCATGGAGCTTGCTGGTACATTCTGCCTCTCACGTGTCCACCCCTCAGACTGACCAGGTTTTCCAAACCTCAAAACCCAACACCAGCACATTCTACTCCACAGGGAAGATAACCACCACCAAGGCCAAACCAAGGCGGCCGTGCCTTTAAGAATGGGATGGGGTGTCATCAGCTTCTTTGGGCTCCTTCTGGGTCCAGAAAGATCATTTTGGGAGTTACTTCTACTACCTTCGGTCCCAGGGGAAGCAACAGATGAACTGGAAGGGGGGAAAAAAAAAGAATTCAGACCCATAACCAGCTTCGTTCAAAGCCTTTGCACCTGAAGAACTCAAAGAATTTAAAAAACTCTAATGAATCCTTCCTCTCTGAGGTAACTACGCATTACTACACCCACTAGAGAGACTGGCAGGGAAAGGCTGAGCGACTGGCCTGAGTCTACAGAGTGAGACAGGCACTCCGATTCCCGTCCCGGTACTTGGAATCAGTAGGTGTCGCCCACTCTTACCCTACTATTTATCACACATATTGAGTGCATGTCTGAAACCTTGTTAAATGGGTTATTAGAAATTTGGACTCTTATTCCAGGCTCCAAGATATTTACTTTTATCCAAAACAACAATAAATTTAGGCTAGATAACTGGTCGGCCCCAGGGACTGCTCCACTGGGACCTGATATTGTCTACCCTGGCTCCTTGGCACTAAACAAAATCAGAAACCCATGAATCAAGTTAGAGCAAGTAAGTATTTTTCTCTTTTACCAGACTTCCTTAGACAAAGGTGGTGACAATGCAAATACTGTGTAAGTGGGTCCTTACAGGCAGCCACTTGCCTTAAATACCTATTTGTATCTCTCAGGACCAGTCACAAATAGTTTCTTTGGTCTGAGAGTGCACAGTGAAAGGACAGACCATGGAGCCTGGAAGCTAGGCAAAGTTCAGAAGCCCATCTACTGCAAAGTGAAAAACTCTAAATAATGAGTCCAGGGAGTGTTCTGATACAATGGACATACTTTGAAGGTGCCTTGCAGGTTCTCTTTGGTTCTTTGGGGTTGGACAGCAGGCAGCTCTGTGAGTCAATCACTGCTGTGTCACGCTCTGCTGCCCACCGAGCCTTTGCCAGCCTCTGGCTTTCCTTCAGCTCCAGAATCACTTTGTGTTGTTCCTGAAGTTTCTTCTTTTGCTTCTCAATCAGCTGTTGCTGGAAGGCATGGCGGTTGTGGAAATGACTCATGCAAATAGGTTTTGTTTTCTGGCTGGTGGTTCTGAGCTTCTCGTTGCTGTCAGGCTGTGGGGAGGGCTCAAGATCCAGAGCTTTGTGAGGCTTGTTTTCAGATGTGTTCAGAGGGACATTCTGAAGGCAAACTTGCAAGATGCTGTCTGTTGGTTTGCCTAGGTGGGGGCTAGGCATACAACCACTGCTCCCTGAAGGAGGCTTTTCCCACAGAAGGGGTATGGCAGTCACCTGAGAGAGAAGGAGATGGTATGGAGCTCAGCTATTGAAAGGACTGCGCTGACGAGAGCCAGCTTCATCTAGTCAGCATTGCTCTGTTCAATGGCACAGTTGCCCTGCACCCCAGCCAGAGTTGCCCTGTGCTCCTGGCCTGGCTACCTCAGAGGCTACCAGCCTCAGCTCTGGAGCCACTCTGAGAATGTGTACTGCTGGCCAGGAAAACTGGGTGGGGGGTGGCTACAACTGTATGGACCACTGACATGGGCCAGGACAATGAAAAATGTGCTGTTACAGTTTTCTAATTAGGACAGTTCATTTGTGAATTAGGCAAGATACTCCAGATACATGTCACAGGAATTTTAATCTACATGAATTAACATTGAATTTTGCAGAAAATTGAAAATTTTGTAGCAAAGGATATATTCTTTCTTAAGAATGTTGGAAAACTAAGGAATAGCTTTACTAATTAATAGTAGCTCTTTATAATAGCTGCTTAATAATAACAGCTCTTTAATAATAGTTCTTTCAATGACTCTCTTACCACCAGTAAATTAAAGTCAGAGTATTTATTTCAGGATTAAGGACTGGATTAAAGTTTATAGACTCCAGTTATTTCCAAACAAGTTATATGTGAAAAATGTTGGCAAACCCAGGACCAACAGACTAATATCTATATCACATAAGAATAATGTAGCCTAATAATATTTTGTATTAGCATATGGCTTAATAGTTTTCAAAGCTTTATCATTCAAATCTCATTCAACAGACTGAGATGTTACAAGTTCTATACAGAGGAAAAGGAACAGAATTTTTAATCCAAAAAATTTATTCTGGCCGAAATAATGCCACAGTTAAAATGTCTCTTCTAGCATGGTATGATGCCATGGTCTAAAGTCTAGCCAGTTTTGATTCTTCCATCTGCAGTGGTACAAAGAGAAAAACACTGTGAACTGTCTTACGTATCTTAGAAGCTTCTAGCTTTAACAGGGTGCCATGCTTGGGTACTCAAAGATATTTTTCATGATGATGGAAATATTTCTGTAGGTTCAGCTAAAGTAAAAGATATGATACGTGGAAACTCTGACATGTTAAATACTTTTCAAAATAACCTACTTCAGAAATGTCAGTGGACATTTCTTCACGACAACACCTGCGTAAGTAATTTAGCATCAAGAGGGGTACATGTTTTATGCCCTTTTAAACTTTGTGATAATGATGTATTATTAACCCAGCAAGGCTGTAAAAGCCTTGAGTACAGCAACAAGATTTCTTTTGGATCATGGTAACTTTTTCAGGTGAAAATAAGAGAAAGAAAGAAAAGCTTACTGGTACAGATTGTACTTGATAGAACAGAACTGAATGGTCTGGCTTAATTAGAGAAAATCACCTACATTAGCTAACTGGTAGTTCTAAAAAATTTCAAGGTATAGTATATGTGCTTGTGGTACATGAATTCCTATGATTGTGTAATTAATGAACATCTAACTAAAGATTTTATATTTTCATTTGCTCATGTTAGGCGCTATACTCTAGAAAAGATTACAGTTTATCTAGTAACCTATAGAGTCTATTATATCCTGTATTTTCATTTGTTCTATTTTTTTTTACAATATTATCCTTTTCTGATAAATTCTTTTGTTTTTGATTTCAGAGATTTGGCGATCTTTTTTCTTGAGTATAAATTATATACATATATGTAGTAATTTTTCCCTTTTACACACACAAAAAAATACTTTCTGCTGACTTCTTTTTTCATTTAAAGATAATAACAGTGGACCTTTGTAAGGTAAAAGGTTCCACATAGCTATTTCCTAAGATAGAAGACTCTCTTGGGTCTCAGTGGAAACAAAATGATCTGACTGACATAAAGGTAGATAAATCGCCTAGGGGAAGGGACCAAAATGTTACATAAGTACCAATAAGCATCCTCATGATCCCCTTTTGCTGAGAGACAAGGTTATATTAAACCAGCTGCTTGCTAGCAGTAGTCACAGTAAAAAGCAAGGCCAGGACCCTCTAGTTCCCAGTGTAACTTAGTTAAGTACTTGGCAGCATTATGAAGCAGTGGAGGGGGCCTGGGGTGGAGATGAGCATACAGGACCTCCTCTGAAAGGCTCTTCAAACACAAGTGCAATTATAAAAGAGAAAACCTGATATGATGGCCTTTACTAAAAACTTAACTGTGTATAGTACCAAACACTATAAAAAACCCAAAAAGACAAATGACAGAATGAAAAAAAAAAAGCAAAATATATAATAAAGACAACAAATACTTTAAAAAATATACAGAGCTCCTATAAATAAGAAAAAGATACACAACCAAGTAGAAATACAGACAAAAGGGCATGAAGAGACCAATCATGATATATCTATCTTACTATATCCATTTTCATATTATATATAATTATATATTCACATATGAATATGAATATATTCACATATGAATATGAATATATTAATATATATTTCATATTATTTCATAGGAAACATTTCATATTATGAATTTTCTATTTCATATGAAATATAGTATTTCATATTTTGAAATATTTCCTATTTCAAATATATTTCATTATATATATATATCCAATGCAAAAAATGTTTAACCTCAGTAGTGATTTAAAAGAAGATCTGAGAATGTTTAATAAGATGAAAATATTTTACCTATTAACTTGGTAAAAAATGAAAACTATGTTATCAGGCACGAAAATAGGTGCTTCTTGGGTACAATCTTTCTGGGATGACAATTTGGTAATAGTCTTTGGAATGGGCATACTAGTTTTAGGTATTTATCCAAACTAAAGCATTATAGATGTGTGCAAAGATTTAGCTACGAGGGTGACCAAGGAAGCTTTGTCTGCAATTGTGGCAAACTGTAAACAATTTCAATGTCCTGCAACAGAGAAGGAAGTAGGCAGAGTCTAGCTTACAGTTCATGACAGAGAATCATGCAGACATTACGATATGATGGTACAGAACCTGGTGGTCCTTAACCAGCGGGCATTCATCAGGTTCACCTGTGGAACTTTCAAAACGTACAGGTGCTCCACTCCCAGAGACTCTGATTTAGTGGTCTGATTCTGCAGTATACTCTCAGCTGAGAACTACCATTGTAAATTTGTTGACATAAAAAAATTCTCATGTTAAAAAATCACATCCTTATTAAGAAGAAAAATACATGGCTTTTCTTTTCCTGTGTTATGGCAGACTAATGCCCTCAATGACTTGACTGAAGAAAAGATTAAAGCTAAATAAAATAATGAAGAGAAGAATCTGCATATGCCTGAAGAGAGAGAAGACAAGATGTCTATACTTCAACATGTTATCACTGGTTATCCTCAAATGATGAAATTATGGGCAATTTTTCTTTTTTTTTCTGTCATTTTCTGCTACTAAATTGCTACGATTAATATATATTATTTTTCTCATTAGAAGAATAAACACTTAAACATTCCCCTCATAAGTCACAAGGCTCACTTAGGAAAGAAATGTTTGATGACCAAACAAGAGTACACAAGCGAGGAGACAACACTTTCTATTATCTTCCTGAAAGAGTCTTTCTCGTAGTAGTTTTAAATTCCCTGTGCTAACTTTGTACTAAGTTTCAGCTACGCCAAAGTTTATATGTGATCATAAAAAGAAGATTCAGTTCAAGACAATGAACACTGACTGAAAGTTAACCTTCGGGCATTACAGCAGTTCTCATCTGTCAGGTGGTGTAGGCAAGGCAATCTGACAGTGGCTAACAGACCAAGCTACCCACGTGCCAGCTGAAAACCAAGTGATTAACAGGCAGGGAGACCAAGCAAAAGAAACACAACGTACCTCTCCTATAGGTGACTCCTCCATAGCTGTTCCCTCCTCAAGTGGACTGATGCCTGATGACCTGTTTGCACTGAGTTTCCCTAGTGATACTGCCTTCAACAACTCATTCATTTTCTTCCTTGTTTCCCCCTTTTTTAGAGCCAGCGCTCTCTTCAGGATCTCTGCACGATGCCAATGCTGCCATTCTGTAAAGTGGTGTCGGAGAACTTCTTTCCGGTTGTATTCAGCGGCCAGTTGGCGTTTTCTAAGCAACAAAGCACTTCCATTAAAAACAGAAGCCACTGACAACTTGTTACTTGATAATATAAATGGAACACAAGTCCAGAGGAGTCCCAGAAATGCTCCACTTAGCTCCAGCTTATTCTTTTATCGAAGCTAAATGGAATTACTTTATAAAATTCCCTGGTGGAAAGGGTGTGCTCATAGAAGGCGTTGGCACTTCAACACATTACCTCAGAAGAAAGAGTGACAGTTCTGTTCTATCATGTCATGAAGATATCACATTTTTTGATTATCATAAAATAGTTTATGAGGGCTTTCAGAGGGGAAGTAGCAAAAAGAATAGGTATATAAATAACTACTTTTTAAAAGATGAATGCATAAGGGAGACATACAGCTATGCTTGGAAATCTAAGGAAGACAGAAGATTGGGAGAAAAGGAAAGGAACAAAACAAGCGAATTATCAATAATTAAGTGTAAGACTTATAAAAGTCAACATGAAACTATGAAGGTAGATCTTAGGAAAGGAGGACTTGATTGGGGAAAGGTTCCCTAAAGAAGGACTCATTTACAGACCTGAAAACTAAGTGAATGAAGGATTGCCTTGTGAAGATAATTGCCAAACACCAGACACATGTGAGAGGCAGAGACTGGCACTTGCTCTCATGGAATTCATTCGCAGTCTGGTAGGTGTTGTCCCAACACATTCTCTCCCTAAGGAAGAGCTCCTTTGATTCCTGGACACTTCATGAACATGACGGGACGTGACTGAGTGGAGTTATAAACTGCCAGCTACGTTCCCTTCCCACAGGGGATCTCCATTAGGAGGCACTCTGGAAGTGACCAGTTGAGAATTCAAGCATAAAGTTCCCTGAGCTCTATCCATGCGCAGATGGTTACTGTCCCTGAAAAAATTATGTCTCATCATAACTTGGAAATTATGTCGCATCATAAACGGGTCAGTTTAGAAGTTTAAAACCCAATATTATTTAGATATCTACTTGATTTTATCTTGTAAAGGAAAATCAAATAAGTTCTCTATAACACTATTTGCATATCCATTTCTGTTAAAAAAGCATAATGCTTAACTCTCCTCATGGACTTCTGGGGGTCAAAACAAAATAGAAGCAGTTTTTAAGTCAATGTGTCAGAAGAACATTCTTATAGTTTTTAAATACTTAAGTGACTTTTAAAAAAAATATTTTATTTATTTATTTTTAGACAGAGGGGAAGGGAGGGAGAAGGAAAGGGAGTGAAACATCAATGTTTGCTTGCCTCTTGCATTCCCCACATGGGGGAACCCAGCCTGCGACCCAGGCATGTGCCTTGACTGGGAATTGAACCAATGACCCTTTGGTTCACAGGCCAGAGCTCAATCCACTGAGCCACACCAGCTGGGGCACTTAAGTGACTCTTAAACCTTTCTAATTGCCACCTACAGTAAGAAAAAAATGTTACACTGTGACTCACTATGTAAGTTTACATGTGCATATATAAAGCAAAACTATATGTAACTGAAACAAAAGTTTCACCAAACAATACTCTATTACCAGAGATGTGCTTGGTTATTTCTGTTCTAACATGTTCTATTTCTTTCTTTCTTTTTTTTAAGGTTTTATTTATTTATTTTTAGAGAGGGAAGGGAGGGAGAAAGAGAGAGAGAGAAACATCAATGTGCAGATGCTGGGGTCAGTGGCCTGCAAGCCAGGCATGTGCCCTGACTGGGAATCAAACCTGCAACGCTTTGGTTTGTAGCCCATGCTCAATCCACTGAGTTACGCCAGCCAGGGCTTCTATTTCTATAAAATACATAGCTCATCTTGAGCCTGATTTCAGGACCCTCTACTGGGTTAAAATCCTTAGTCTGAAAAAGACTACTCTAGAGTCACAGACTTTAATCTATGTCAGAAGAGTTGGGTGAAACAACCAATTAGTAAGAGTAAAGTCAACCGAAATAATGAATTTCAGGATAAACACTAACAGTACCTCTGCTAACAGCATTTTTTATTACATTTAATTGCTTCTTTTTAATAATTTAATAATAGGTATTCAATAAATACTTGGTGACTGATGGTTTTTGTAATGAAAGTACAATGTAGGTAGAATAGACATTTGTATATTATTTTACTTTGATGAAAATAAGTATCTATCCCTGGCTGGTGTGGTTCAGTGGATTGAGCACCGGCCTGAGAACAAAAGGGCCGCGGGTTCAATTCCCAGTCAGGGCACATGCCTGGGTTGCAGGCCAGGTCCCCTAAGGGGCGCACGGGAGGCAACCACACATTAATGTTTCTCTCCCTTTCTCTCTCCTCTCCCCTCTGTCTAAAAATAAATAAATAAAATATTAAAAAAAAAAGAAAAGAAGTATCTAATATGAGACTGAATAACCTTGAAATAAAAATTATAGAGGAAATAAGAATAATAAGTTAGGTAGCAACACAGGTAAGAACAAAACCCCCAAAACTCTATAGCACTTTATTTAAGTGAAAATCATAAATTTTCACAGAACGGAGGATGTCCATTGCTCTGATTAATGTGAAATTTGATTTACATGAATCTGCTCAGAAAGGAGGAGTATGTATTACCTGATGTGTTATTTTCATGTTTTTACAATGTAAACAGTCAAACAACACTGAGGTTTTGACTGTCAGGGAAGAAATTATTTGGACACTATAAAAAGGCAAAGAGAAAAATATTTTTGTAAATATAATAAAACCCTAAACAGTAAGAAAATAGGTTTAAAAAATGCATGTTCACTATAGTGCTTAGAGCCCACTCTACAATGGCTATGTGGGTATCTTGAATATCTATTTAATAATCTATGTTTCTGCATTGAGGTGGAAGGGTAGCAACCGAAGCCAGGGATCCAGAGATCAGGTTGCTTTTACTCCTGCACCCTTGCAATTCACTCTAGCAGAGTGACGATATTCCCAATAAGCCAACTTCTATACTTTTAAAAAGATGATACCAAAAACATAAGTATTTCTGAAAGTGAAAAATCACTTAAATTTCTTAAAAGCTCAACCAGATGTGATTTGCTTGGGTACACTAACCCAAAGAAATGGTTTCAGACATAGTTCCCAGATAATCATGAAATGAAGGATGGAGTTCCCACACAGAAAACATCCCGTCCCAATATGCTTCCAATCCACAATCAGGGAATTTCTGGCAAGGGTATATAAATTTATAAATTGATCATCACAATTATATAACTGCATGCAGACAAAGGCTGTCTCTAAAGACCAAAAAGAATAGAAAAAAGAATAGAAACCTTATTCTTTTATACATATAAAAGAATAAGGTTTCTATTTAAACCTTATAAAAGATTTAAAAAGAAATTTAAATATGAACATTGATGCTTAGAACAACACCTCAAATGACACTTAGTTGCTGGTGTGTGTTACAGAATGGAGAAGTCAGAGGAGTCACCATACAAAGGACACTGGGTAGTGACAGAAAGTTTCTAAGCTTCAGATTCCTCCTCAAAATGATGTCATCCCCACTTCCCTAAAAAGCCCTATACTACCTGTCCTACAAGAATCTTTAATAAAAGAACCTGAAAAATAGAAAACAAATTCTCATGTAAGTTAGTACTACCTCAGGATGATTCTAGATATCTAGAGAGTGTCTTGAATTTTTTAAAAGTGAGAAATGAGAAATAAATAACCACATACTAGTGATCTGACTGAGTGCTGAGATCTGACCCAGAACACAAAAACAGCAATGATGCAAATGCAAGAATAGGAAGGAAAAAAGCTTATGTATTCAATAATGCAGCAGGAGCCCCTCAGAGAAAAAGTAAAAGATAATTCTGTTTTAGAGCTTTAAAGTGAGCCAGACGGTACAAGTCTTATCCTCCTGCCTCTCTGACAGACACATCAGGAATTTTACCAGCTTCAGATGCCCTTCAGTTTCTGGCCTCTGACCTGGATACCCAGGTAAGCACAGAGGAAGCGCCGTCCAACATGATTAACAAAAGTGCTGCAGAAACGGGGACACCCTCAATCCCGCTGACATTTCTTGGTTTCTGCTTGCAGCAACTACCTTTGAGCTTTTCCCCCCACCTTTAATATCCTAACCTTCTTTGAACAAGATCTTGAAATTTAACATCCTAAACCAATTTCAAGAACAGAGAACAAGATGCAGAAAGCCAGGGATTTGTAGGAAAGCAGCAATGTGTGGTTTATGTTTAACAGATCCTTTCTTTTCATGTTTTTAGCATAACTTATCATTTGTAAATCACCGCTCTTTTCTGAAACCATCTGAGTAAATTACAATATAACTCACAAACATGGTTGTCTTAGGGACTACCAGATGCCGCTTAACACAGCAGCTGTGTGCTACAGGGTACAGTATCGAGCTCAGAATCCAAAAGGCCAGGGCCTAGTTCTGGGCTGGCTGCTCTTGACTCTATGACCTTGGGATGACAGCTTCCCTCTCGGGCCTTCCTTGTAATGTCTATAAAATGAGGGGCTAGATTAGAGCATTCCTGCTCTAAGGTATATCTGCTCTAAAGTATTATAGTAAAAAATTATTATAAGTTAAATATTTTCTATCTCTTGCAGTTCTAAAAAATGGAGTACCCATTCTCAACATTTAAAAATAGACACCTGAAAATAATTCACAGATATGAGACAGAAAGTTCTGAGATCTTAAAAAAAAAAGGCACATTATGTTATTATGAAATCCCCTTTTAGTGTTTTTATATGAAACAGTTTAATTGGAATGGCATATCCAGTTCTTTAGATTTTTTTTCTACAAGCTTCTTCTGGCATGTGAATTTCACAGGCCACTTCTGACTTGAACATCTCAGTGTCCACTCCCTTCAGGCCGTCGCTCATGCTGCCCCCCTCTCACCGCTCCGCCACACGCCCTGCGCTGTCCAGCAGACCTTTTCTCAGCTATTGCTTTTCCAGTTAGACTGTCATCCCATCAGTCCCTTATATCAGTCACTAGGTCCTGAGAACTTAGAAATGGATTATGGAAGAGTTCTCTATGTTGACCTTCTTTTTTTTTTAATGAAGATTTCTCCCAGCATACTGTGGAAAGTAAAATTGACTTGGTCACCCTTCTGCTTAAAAACCTTCAAGAATTTATCTTTATTTACCAAAGAATAACTAAACTCCTTGTCCTGGCATTAAAGGCCCTTTGCAAGTCAATGAACTTTACAACCATGTGCTTGATGGTCTCCAGCCTGTCGGGATGGTGACACTCCATGCCACCACCTTGTCTCCCCATGTCCACCAGGAACATCCTGCTTACAGTGCAGAGCCCAGCTCAAGACCCAGCTCCTTGATAACACCTCTCCTGGCACTCTGTAGGAGCCTCCTTGGTCACAGCGACCCTTCCCTCTGCTAAGGTCTCCTCAGAAGGGGATGCATTACACAGTTTATAATGATCCTCAACATCTCTGTTTCCAGATCTTGTTTTCCCCACAAAATAGTGAGCTTGTGGAAGACCAGGGGTCATGCATCATTCTCCTCTGTGTCATCCCCATGGCCCAGTGCTGTCACAAGGCTGTGCAACTCCAGGGTAGGGCACTCTCTTCCACATAACAATGCTTTCACATACCATTTGTTTAATCTGTCACCCTGAACGAGTGACAGAGTTGCTGGTAGAGAAATAAGCAAACATAAAAACATGAACTGCCCTCTCCCAAATAAATAAATGGTTCCTTTGAAATTTATGATTTTGGTTCAAGAATACAAAGTTAAATTTGGAATGGAAAGAACAAAATGTATTTAATTTTAAGATGATGGAGCAAAGAAAGTTTTATTTGAAGGCACATTCTGTCATTTGCAAGAGTATGAGAGAGTTGATGCAAAGGTGTCAAAACCTCTGTGTAAGATGAGGAACAAAAGATGGGGGAATGGGAGGAATCACTCTTGGCAGGTCTGCCCTCTTTGATTGATGTTCCCTGTGTCCCTAATTAATATTCTAAGTGCAGACTGATTTCTACGAATGTGAATCACTGGCATACAAACCAAACTCTGTCTTTTGAATTATAAAATGGTCCAAGTGCAATGCTACTACATCAGAGGACAAGGGAAAAAGCATAATATTCACTTCCTTTAAAAAAGGAAAGCATGCACATTAGTACATATTAATCAAATCATTTTGTACTTAGAGTTTTCAGTTAAATTTTCCTAGCTTGGAATGAAACATAGGAAAACAGTGATTACCACATTTATAAGCAGATGAGATGATTCCAGTGAACAGCACTTTTTGGAGTCCGTTTCTGGATTCTTCAGGAGGAAAGCTGTCCTAAACATGCCAAAGGGGTTTTCACAGTACAAAGATGGTACCTGTTTTCTTCCCTAAGGTCATTCTCCATGGCTTGTGTCTCCCGCTGCAGCTTCTGAGATCTTGTGTAGTCTCTCCAGGCCCGCAGGACCTTCAGCTGGAACTTCCAGTCAGAAAGGGTCCCAGCTTTCCCCAGCTTAATCCTGTTATCAAGAAGCAGCTTGTGCCAGGCAGAGAAATAGCGTTTTTGACACTGCAATGGAAACATTTGGAAAATCATCACTGATCGGCACCAGTGTTTCTAATATGAACTAGAGCCCTTTCCTCAGACTCCCCCCTCACACTCTCTCCAACAAAGGTAGGAACAATTGTCCTGATGGAAGGACACTGCGCACAACTGCATTATGCTAATAATGACGAGAAATATTCAAGTCATGAAACTGAGACACTCTCAGCTTTGTGACCAACTAAAATATTCAATCCTTACTGTTGAGGCCCCAGTCCTGTGGGGAGCTGGAGTAACAGTCCCATCTAAAATGTAAGTTAAAGGGCTTGTTTGAGAGGCCTGAAAAACCTGCTTCCAATAGGATCTCCGCTACCAGGCTGTCTGGGAGCTTAAAATACCAACCATTTCATTCATTCCTGTTATTAATTCTGCCAACCATTTCATTCATTTCTGTTACTGACTCTGCCAATGTCCTGCACAAACAAACATGGAAGATTCCATGAGGATGGAATGGGTTCTCTGGTTTCCAGGAACGAGAGAGGTAAAAACAATAGCTTTAGCTGGGCCACCACTAACTGTGTTAGGGCCTTGGTTGAACAGGCCTAGATACTCAGGCCACTTGCTATCTTCCACTGTGTGCGTGTGACAGCAAATAAGACAAGGTTTACTGGCCCTAAGGACATCCTGGAGAAGTACTCTGGCGCTAGTCTTAGAATATCTCTGAGATCCAGTCCTGATCTACGAGTATATCTTGTATCTTCACAGCAAACTTTATGTTCCTAGCACACCAAATTACTTTCATCTCTTGGCCTTGCACCAACCATGCTGTTTCACACTTTTTTATCTACGGTCATCCTAATTCTCCATCCTTTTCTTCCCTCTCTCTGCCTGACTACTTCAGGAGTCACCTCTCTTAGGGAGCCCTCCTGTTCCCAACTACTCTCCCAAACGTCAGCCCTCTTCCACTGTATTCCAGAGCAATCTACACTTTCTTCAGTCAAGACACTCAACGCACTGTATTATAATCATGTCTTTAATGGCTTCCACTAGACTGTGAGCCATCATTCTCTGGAAGGAAGAGACGGGGTCCCATAAATGGGAATGGCAAATCTGGGAGTGTTACCAAGTGTGGGAAGCACTAAACAATAGAAAGTGACCTCATAAGAAGTGCCTTTGTGGGACATATGTGGAATGGCTGAAGACCTGCATCAAGAACTGGGTAGCCTAACCAAGCTCAGCCTGATTTACTGCTTCTTTCTCTATAAAAAGACTTATTGTTCACTGTTTCAACATTTAGGAAGCATTCACCACTGTATTTGAATTTGGGAACTCTGAACAAAGTTGTTTAAGATATAGATTTCGGGGTGTCATAGGGAGAGAAAATATATACATTAAAAGATCTGTAATATGAGGGACATTATGCTAGAATTTTAGAAATTAGCCAGAAATATTTAACCAGAAATATTTTCTATGTAGGAAACCAGTCATAGTGCCATTTAATCAAACTACAAAATATTTACTTCCCAACAGGAGAAACCATGTAAAACCTAAAAAAGCCATTATTCCCTTTCTGTTATGTCAAACGAGGGCACATTTTCTGGAATTCAGATTCCATGGAAGGAGGGAGAGATGGCAGATGGGAGGAAGAGAAGAACAGAGGGGGGAGATTTGCTGAATATAGGGTATCCTTCAGTCATAACAAGGAAAACTCACAGCTGCCAGGTTGAGAAGATTATGCTTTTTTAAAAAGATTTTTATTTTATTATTTATTTATTTTTAGAGAGGGAAGGGAGGGAGAAAGAGAGGGAGAGAAACATCAATGTGCGGTTGCTGGGGCTGTGGCCTGCAAGCCAGGCATGTGCCCTGACTGGGAATCGAACCTGCGATGCTTTGGTTTGCAGCCTGCACTCAATCCACTGAGCTACACCAGCCAGGAGATTATGCTTTTTGTATTATCTGTTTATCTATCCCACAAAATACAGCATGAAAAAAAAGTGTTCACTTGTATACCATAGTCAACAGAAAATATCTTCTATTTACCAGATTCATTTAAAGGATTCCTCTTGAATGACTTAATTTTTAACTCCTGGAATATTTCTAATGATGAAATAGCATAAACATACTCTACTTTGGCAGCAACACTATTAATAGTGTCCTTCTTGGATTTCTACATTCCTTTTCTCTGAAGTTCAAAGCACCTTACATGTACTATTTTATTAATCTGTAGACCATCATTAGAAAATGGATACTGCATATATCATTATAATTTACATTACAAAGTTAAACTTCAAGTAAAGAAGAGTTAACAACTAAATTCACAAAGTAAAAAGTTAGTGGTACACCTAAGGCTAGAAACTGGAATATTCTGGCATCCTGATGACCCTAGTCTCTTAGGCAAAAAGTCTTACTTCAAAAGGAAAGCATATTTTTTTTTTACTGAAAGAAAGAATTCAATATAAAACTTGCTATGGGTAGAAAAGCACTGCTAGAATATATGGGGGAAAATCTGAGTTGATAAATTCTGTTAATACATTTCTTGAAAAATACTTAAGTTTAGATTTTGAGAGCAAAGTGATCAGTTTTTTTTAAATACATTTTGTTTATGCTATTACAGTTGTCCCATTTTTCTTCCTCTTCTTTATTCCCCTCTACCTTGTTATCTCCTCCCACCATCATTCCCCCACCTCAGTTCATGTCCATGGGCCACATATATATAAGTTCTTTGGCTTCTCCATTTCCTATACCATTCTTAACCTCTCCCTGTCTATTTTGTACCTACCATTTATGCTTCTTACTAATAATAGTTAATAATACTTAATGGGAATAATTATTAATATTAATAATTCTTAATAATAAAATCTATACCTTTCCCCAACTCTCCCCTCCCCCTGCCTACTGATAACCCTCCATGTGATCTCTATTTCTGTGAATCTGTTCCTGTTCTAGTTGTTTGCTTAGTTCATTTTTGTTTTTGCTTTTTTAGGTTCAGTTGTTGATAGTTTGAGTTAGTTGTCATTTTACTGTTCATATTTTTTTATTTTCTTTTTCTTAGATAAGTCCCTTTAACATTTCATATAATAAGGGCTTGGTGATGATGAACTCCTTGAACTTGACCTTATCTGAGAAGCACTTTATCTATCCTTCCATTCTAAATGATAGCTTTGCTGGATAGAGTAATCTTGGATATAAGTCCTTACCTTTCATGACTTGGAATACTTCTTTCCAGCCCCTTCTTTTTTTTTTTTTAAAGATTTTATTTTTATTTATTTTTAGAGAGGGAAGGGAGGGAGAAAGAGAGAGAGAGAGAGAAACATCAATGTGTGGTTGCTGGGGCCATGGCCTGCAACCCAGGCATGTGCCCTGACTGGGAATCAAACCTGTGACACTTTGGTTCACAGGCCGTGCTCAATCCACTGAGCTACGCCAGCCAAGGCTCTCCAGCCTTCTTGACTGCAAGATTTCTTTTGAGGAATCAGCTGACAGTCTTACATGAATTACTTTGTAGGCAACTGTGTCCTTTTCTCTTGCTGCTTTTAAGATTCTCTCTTTATCTTTAATCTTGGCTAATGTAATTATGATGTGCCTTGGTGTGTGCTTCCTTGGGTCCAACTTCTTGGGGACTCTCTGAGCTTTCTGGGCTTCTGGGAAGTCTATTTCCTTTGCCAGATTGAGGAAGTTCTCCTTCATTATGTTTTCAAAGAAGTTTTCAATTTCTTGCTCTTCCTATTCCCCTTCTGGCACCCCTATAATTTGGATGTTGGAATATTTAAAGTTGTCCCAGAGGTTCTTAAACTGCTCCTCATTTTTTTTTAAATTCTTATTTCTTCATTATTTTCTGGTTGAATGTTTATTTCTTCCTTCTGCTCCAAACCATTGAGTCCTGGTTTCCTTCCCTTCACTGTTGGTTCCCTGTACATTTTCCTTTATTTCACTTTTCACAACCCTGACTTTTTCCTCTATTTTGTGACCACACTCAACCATTTCTGTGACTATCCTGATTACCAGTGTTTTGAACTGTGCATCTGATAGGTTGGCTATCTCTTCATCACTTAGTTGTATTTTTTCTGGAGCTTTGATCTGTTTTCATTTGGGCCATGTTTTTTTTTTTTCTTTTTGTCTCAGCATGTCTTTTATGTAGTAAGGGGTGGAGTCTTAGGTATTGGCCAGGGTGGGACATCCCACCTGGCTGTGTTGTGGCACCATATGGGGGGGTGGGGTCAGAGAGGAAACAATGCAGCTTGCTCAGCTCTCTGCCAGCTTTCAGTCACTTCCTCCACTATCCACAGGCAAATTTGGCCCTTCTGGTGCTAATTCCTAGGTGGGTGGGTTTGTGTATGTTCTAGGACCCTGTGGGTCTCTCCAATGAACTCTCCTGCGAGGCAGGAAGTTTCTCCTGTGGCCTCAACCCCTATAGATTTTTACAGTCAGATGTTTTGAGACTTTACTTCCCCACGCTGGAATCTTGAGTTGCTTGGTATGCCTCATTCTCCAGTTGTTTCTCCTGGTTTATCTGCACACAAATGTGGGACCACCTGGTCTTCCAGCTGCTGCCTTGCCACTAATCTTCTCTACCCTCCCTGTTCATCTCCACCCCTCCTACTGGTCTGGATGACTGTTTCTTCTTTAACTCCTTGGTTGTCAGACTTCCATACAGTTTGATTTTCTGGCAGTTCTGGTTGTTTTTTATTTTCAAATTTGTTGTCCTTCTTTTGGTTGTGCAGGCAGGCAAAGTGCATCTACCTATGCCTCCGTCTTGGCCAGAAGTAAAAAATGATCAGTTTTTTTTTAAGATTTTTATTTATTCTTAGAGAGGGAAGGGAGGGAGATAGAGAGACATCAATGTGCGGTTGCTGGGGGTTATGGCCTGCAACCCAGGCATGTACCCTGGCTGGGAATCGAACCTGCGACACTTTGGTTCGCAGCCCGCGCTCAATCCACTGAGCTATACCAGCCAGGGCTAAAAATTATCAGTTTTAAAGGTCTATAATTCAGTCTCACTACACAGAAGTTAATATCAGCAAAGTGAC